GATCATTTGCTCAGTGCAGGATACAGCATATAGCACTTCTAGTATTTCTGTGTCATGTGCAGATCCAGGCTTCCTGCTGTTCGCATCACCCTTTGCCATCCGATTACAAATACTTACTTGCATCGCAGTTTCCACATTTACCTTTCTGCCACACCACCTCTATGTTCTATGTACCTGCTCAGAGCAAGCAGTAAATTTTGGGTAGTCTATTGCCAAATCATCTGTTCCCAACGCTCCAGTTCCTACCCGGTTTCTAAGGCCACCATTTGTCTCTTCTTGTTCGGATATGACAAGAAAAGTAAGTTTTGTGATTGAAGTCAGCAACCATAAAGTTGTTGGACTCAAAAAAGTAAACGGCAGAGTCGTCAGGCAGGAGCTCACTCCCCTCTCAGCTGTGATTACCTGAGGCCATATGCGAAAGCTTCCCTCCTACTTTCAGGATGATCCTTGCAAACAACATAGGGGGTGAGGATTATTACGTTTTCCTTTTCTTTTAGTAAGGCTGTGTTGCACTCGCCTTTCTCTCCTCCAACCCATCTACCTCAGAAGTCCCAGCTGCAAAATCCAATTTAATTTATGCAGCCTCTTGAAAGAGAGTCAGGCTGGACATTGACCACGGCCATTCCATCTACAGGCAACTACGACCCAGAAATACAGTACTTCCTTCTTTCTGCTAATTTGCCAAATTATCTTTAAACCTATTCTCTTGAATGTTCGCGGGGTTTATTTGGTTATTCCTTTGACTACAAGCTTCCCTAAAAGCAGTGTTTCTCATTCCAAAAGCAAGATGAAATTAGCAGTTTAGCAGCCCATGGTTCTGGCAGGTGTTGGATGGCAAAGATAAAGAAACAATCTGCACAGAGTACAGCTGTCCACAGCACCAAAAAAGCAACTGACTGAACATCTTAGCCCACCTGGAGTTACACCGCACACTTCCTGCAACTACTGTTTGGTAGTTAGCAAAGACAGTGGATAGTGAGGGAAGCTTATCAAGCACCACTCATTTTTTTTTCCTTTCACCACTCCTTTGTTTGCTGAAATGTAAGACAAAAGTTGCTGCCATGTTATGCCACTGTCCTCCTAAAATACTGGCTTTCCAAGCCAGAATTAAGCAATAGACCAAAACTACCAACTTCATTTGATTAATAGCACTTTTTTTTTTTTAAATCTAGGTAGAACTCCAAGTTTATCTAAGAACAAGTTTTGTACTGTTTGATAAGCTTCTCTTCCAAGTGCTTTGGCCATAATGGAGAAAAGTGTTTAGATATGCACTGACAAAGGTCATAAGTTATCCCAAAGAGACTATCAAGTTACACTTAATTTGTTTCAATACAAAGCACAACTAATTCTATCCAGAATAAATCATGCTGCTTACCAATTGTTGCTCCACAGGGGGTGGTATATCTTGGTTGGCATAGACAATAGCTGGATTATAAAGGCTGAATACCACAGGGTAAAAAACCTTTTTCCCTAGAAATCAAAGGGTTATTATTACTCACTGTGGGCACCCTTTCTGAAGGCAAGAGGAAACTGGAAGTACTCTCTTTATGTGAAATATTAGCTATTAGCCATCTAGTGAAAACAAATACATACAAGGTCTAACTGCTAGGCTTTCCCACTTCGGAGCCTGTAACATCTAGCGAGGCAGAGCCCACAGGATTAAAAAAAGTACACGTATTTATTTATACTCTATAGGTATACATCTATATGCAGTTATACATACAAAATATTATATCCACATTATATATCACAGTATCACATGACAGAGAAAAATCCCTGCAATAATGGTATGCAGTAAAGCTAAAAAAATAACCAAGTCCAAGTAACATCTTGCATAGCTTGAGTTTTATGAGTGTGCCTCTTGCCACACATACTTAAAAGTGCGTACATCCAGGATGTCCTGCAAGGGCATTATTCGTCATGAGCATCATCCTGATTATGCTGTGACAGCAGTTCTATGCCTATTACGGAAGCCAAATAAATATTTTTCAAGGATTGCCAATGGTGCAAAGGTATCTATGACAGCCCACAAGAATACTCAGTACCCTGATGTGGTTATGAACCCTGAACATGCGAGAAGCATTTCCAGATCTCACTTGAAGCAAAGGTGACAAACTGTCAGTAGGAATTGTCAAGCAGTCTCTCAAACTCCTTTCCTTGTGAAAGCTCACAAGATGCTCCTCTCCAAAGTTTTTTCAATTATTTATACAACTTGTTTCATGAGAAACAAGACAGACAGAAATGAAAGAAAAAGCAAGCAATAGAATCCAAATATCTGGCTTATAGCAGACTTTCTTGCCTGTTTATTATGTGAAGAAAAAGTATCTATTCATTCCAAATTGACATTTGGAGAAAATGGTTTCTGGCTGCAACAAATCTGGAATTAAAAGTAAGCATTAAAAAAAAAATCCAAAAACATAAAACCAAATGTTTGACAGGAGGGGGTCTTAACGAGCACGCTTGTTAAGCAAGCTTTATCCTTCTTGGCAGAAGCTTGTAAAACAAGCAAGATTCATGCAAACTGGAGAAAAATGGTCAGAAAATTTCAGAGCTTGGGCTGTAAATGTGGAACATTAGCTCACTCTCTAAGGACCATGTTGTGTAGCTGTACTAAAAACCATTCAGATGTGATGCGTCTTAGCTGTACAAGTGTGAGAAGACATAAACAAAATTCGTTAGATTTCAGTATAACAAAAATCATCGTCCACTACAAGTGCTCCATTGATTCTGTTATACAAATTCACATGCAATCTAATTGTTAAAGCAATTAAACTGTCCAGCTTTCTTTTGAACAGCCAAATCTTAAGAAAATGTGAAAGTTGTACTCATTGTACAAAAAAGACAACTTGTTCTTATAGCAAGCTACACCAAGACAAAAGTTATTTCTCAGTCTTTTGTGCACAGAGTAGTTTTCATTTTCCCAGGTGCATGGTATTGAATAAGCTCCACCATTCAAGTTAGTTTTCTATATGCTCAACACAGATCAGTTTAAGCCAAGCAAGATGACAAGGCTGGGTTACAGCAACTGTAAAAAAACGTACCAGGCTCAGCATTTAAGCGACAACTGTTGAGGAACTCTGCTGTGAAATAAACATCAACATCACAGAAGAACATCAGGACCTCGCCCTTTTCCCAGGCTCTGGCACCCATGTCGAGTCCCCGGCCTCGGTTAAATTCCTCATTCAGAGAGACGAGCGTGTAGTTGTGAAAGTTAGTTTCTCTAGAAGAAAAACAGAGAGTCCAACCCAAGATAAACCCATATAGGGGGCAGAAGGGACCATTTATAATTTTTCAGCATTTTACAGTAATTTCATTCCAGAAATTAAAAAAACCCACTAACAACAGTTATATCATCAGGATGAGGAAAAAATATCTGTTCCACTTACTTGTCTATTTGAAGTGTCAGAGTTTAGACATTGTAAAAAGATGGACCTCAGTCTCACTTTATAACTTCATTCTGCATTTAAGCGTTCAGACGTACTTCAAAGGCCTTTTGGCAACTGATGTGAATTACAGTGTTCCCTGAAATTACAATGCCATCTAAAATTTGTCCCCACAACCTAAGAAGTTCTGACTAATAGACCAATATCTGTCTTCACTACGTCAGAGAGAAGGGCAAATGGAAAGCCAGAGTCCTGGCACCACCAAACTCATGAGGCAAAAGGCCATCTGTCTGGTGACGCCACCATAACCCAGTTTGCTTCTCCTCGCTATTTCACACCAGTAGCACACATGCCTCTACTCATCACAGAAGAGGGAAGGAGCAGCAAAGGGAGACTGTAAATACACCCAGGGAATATCTTCAAAGTTAAGTGTCTACTTCGGAGACACTTCAGAGGTCAATGCTTGCAGAGAACAGAGTGAAGATACTCAACAGTAGCACCGCTAAGATAAAGAACCAGATAAATGCCCAGTGAGTTCACAGCACTGAATGTGACTCAATGCTGTCAGAAGAGGACATCTCACAGGGAGGACGGCAGGCAGCAGAGAGGCCTCTGAAACAGAGATGGCCAGCACTAGGCATGCTAGATGCCCGGGAGGCTCTGTGGGAGGAAGGCAGAAGCAATCCTCCCTTCCTAGAAGACCCCTGCGCACACAAGGCCAACTCTCCATCGTATTTTAAGTCAGCGACACAATAGCCTGCGCCTAATACATTTCATCGAGCAGAGCCGTTGGCCTGTGTTGGGAGGTGGGGATACTTGGGAGCCCAGCTCCTTCTTGGCTAACAGGGTAACGGGCTCCCAGCTCAGGGTCAAGCACAAGAGCTCAGGCAGAGAAGGAGCCCCTTAGCCACAGTCTTAGGGATGCTATTACCTGTCCCATCCCTCTGGAGCAAAAAAAAAAAAAAAAAAAAAAAAAGCAACATTTGGGAATTTTAAATCCATACTACTATAATGCTATTTGCTCAGACAGCCACAGTGAAACAGTGCTTAAAGTTGCTTTACAGCAGATGGTACGGGCCCAACTACCTAGCACCTAGAGGATAGAGGGCAGAGCTTAACTTCTCACACTCAGCAGCCCACCAGACTACTTTGACTACATTTCTCTTCCTTATCAGTAAGTAAAATTGGTTCTCCAGTGAAAGAGCTACCGAAATCCCAGTTCCAAAGAACTTTAATTCTGATCAATCTGTTAGCATGACTGAATACTCACTGCAAAACTCAGCCCTGGTTTTTTTTTTTGGACTGTCAGACAGAACCCTCAAAGCCACTGCTGTCAGTCTTTTTTGGCCTATAACTTGATTTTTAGTAGTCTTCAGGAGACTTTTGCAACCTAAGCTGTAAAATGCCAACCAAAAATAGTGTACTGTAAATAAAGCTTACTTTTCTTATTAACCTGTAATGGACTATAAAATTATTATTTCATCCTTTTTTAAAAACATGTAGATGTGGCACTTTGGGACATGGTTTAGTGGGCATGGTGGTATTGGGTTGACTGTTGGACTTGATGATCTTAGAGGTCTTTTCCAACCTTAACGATTCTATGATTTAAATGCCAATCAATACAATTTTTATTGACTGACATTGGATCGACACACTTACCTAGCTACGGACTCTAGGATCTGTAATGGGACTATAAAATTATTATTTCATCCTTTTTAAAAAAAACATGTAGATGTGGCACTTCGGGACATGGTTCAGTGGGCATGGTGGTATTGGGTTGACTGTTGGACTTGATGATCTTAGAGGTCTTTTCCAACCTTAACGATTCTATGATTTAAATGCCAATCAATACAATTTTTATTGACTGACATTGGATCGACACACTTACCTAGCTACGGACTCTAGGATGCTTTTTACTTCTGACAGCCCGTCTTGTCCGAAGTACACCACTGTGAGGTGAACACGCTTATCCTGGTGAATACACACATCCCTATAAGCACAAAGATAAACTGATATTAATAATTACTTGCAACACAACAGAAGCTTCAGGTACTTTAGGTACTTTAAAGCTCTTGCATTTAAAACTATTGGCAGATTTAAGTATTCTGGTCAGATTTCAACTAACTTCTAAAGAAAACAAGGAAAGATGTTTCCCCTCCTCTTTTCCCCATCTTTCCCATTTGAATCAGAAGGTTCCAATACTGTGTGTCTTATTTCAACACCTTATTTTATAAACAGGAGCTCAAAAGCTGTTGTAAATACAGAAGTTATGTTCAAGATCATCTGTGTCCAGGTTCACAGTGGCCCTGGCATTTGGTCTGAAAGGGGTTTTGGTGCAGTTTGAGAATCTCTTAAAACCTTTATTAGAAGGAATACTTTCTCCATACAATAGGTTCAGTTACAAACATCCCAAGGTAATTGCACACAATGTTGGAATCATTAGGTCTGTCACAAATCCACCAGAACAGAAATTCATTTTGAAGACAAAACAAAATACTGAAAAATCAGCAATATAGCTCACTATATAATCTCGTGCACCTACCTAAAGTTTTGCATAAATTGTGCAAATGCCTCAGTTCTTCCAGCAAGAGGGACAATAATGTTAATGATTGATCTAGAAATATCAACCGTTTCACTCTTCACTTTCATGAGGGGTCCAAAAGGTCGGAACAAGGTGACATGCCTGTATTCCATGCCATCCATCTTCTTATAAAACAGCTCATACTGTGTCCCCTTATCTCTTTCCGTACGATAGTAACCTGAAGAACAAGTCACACAAGTCATTTGTAAAGTCAAAGATCCCCGCGATTTTACTTCAGAAACACTGATTTTCCTGAGAACTACAAAGAAGTGAAAAATAAAGCTTTTGGGGGAAAGCTTCTGGGGTTTTCCTAAAAACAAAAAATTCACAAGCCACCAATTACCACAAACACCCTCCTACCTTCTTAGGCCAGATCTGAAAAACAATCTCAAACAACCTCCAGCTTCCCCTGCTTCTTAGATAGGTTTTATGGTCCTACATCAATCTCTCAGACGGAATGAAAGTTGGGTCTTCCCAACAAAAAGGGAATTCAACTATATGCTATGGAAAAGGATGGCTGAAATCTAATATCGCCTGTTCCTAAGCCCTTCAGTAACAATCTTCCCCTAAGCTAGTCCACAGTAAAAGCTGAGATCATCTGGCCAGCAGTCAACACACCACAAGCTGTAGGCAGAACAAATGACACAGTAACTCACTTGACAAAGCCTGTAAAATCTGAAATGTGATCTCTAAAAAAAAAAAATCCACATGATAAATGCTGGAATGCTTTAAAATTGTTTTCATGGCTGACCACTAGCTACAGTTCTTTCTATCCCATAAATAAGGATAGTGGCGTTTTACTGTAGCTATGGTCCTCTAAGGACATAAGCAGAAGTTTTCTACATAGCTGTAACACTGAGAAAACAATACCAGCTCTCTGTAAACACGATTGCCTATTTAGAGACGTTTTACTCCTAATCGGTAGGGAAATCTATCCTGTTCAGAGCAAATATTGAGGATAGCTGCTTGCTTTCATTTAAGGACCGTCGAGGAAGCAACTCAAGCCAATAGCCTCTCTAATTTTACACCACAAAGGAAAAGACTAAGACTCATCCGTTGCTTTGACTGAACTGAGCTCTGTGTTGGTCATCCTCTATCTATACTAACATGAGAGTATGAAATGATGCCAGGAAAAATCCTCCAACAGAATTGCCCTATGTTCATCTCATCTCAGCTCTCCGCTCTCCCACACAAGGTAAAGGTGTATTATCAAAAACAAACATAAGCTAAACTATGAACCAAACAACTTTCAGTTGAGTTGGCCACAAAGATCCTCGAGAAAGTTATGAATAGATGCATATCCGCAAGTGTGGTAAACACACCTGCCCTCCACCACGCAACCCGCGTATTTGCATTCACTTGGCAGGCCTGAACTGCCTCTTCTCCTGCAAGCCAGCCTTCAGAGCAGCTGAAACCCCCTCCCAGCCTCCCACCCAGAAAGAAGGTGGCAGGGCACAGGATAGATGAACTGTTCTGGTGACACAAAGGGTTGTCTTTTGCGCTCAGTATTGATATTGTCCTGTTGTTGTTATTGTCTTTTTGGCAACTGAAATCAAGAGGGGTCAAGATACATGAAGGGAGCAGCCCACAAACTTAGAGCAGCTTGGTTTTGTTTGTCTATCTCAGGAACTAGAAAGAAGTCATCTGACAGCTTTGCTTCTCTCCCTATCTCCAGGCCAACATTCCTCCGTGTTCCCTTCCTCCCACTACCTTCTCATTCACTAAAGAGCCAAAAAAATTTGCACACCACCTTGTCCCAACTTTTTTTTCTTCTATACCTCTATACTCTATTATAAGGAGTAATTTCCCTAAATCTACCTACATTCAGCTCTGTAATGCCATCTTTCTTGCAGGCGAGCGTGTGCACTGGCAGACACAACGGGAAATGCGGACGACCACCACACAGGGTCTGCGGGAGACAGGGTGTAGCAGAACAAGCTGGTGCCATCACACTGGAAGTTAATGGTGACTGAATCCAGCCTTTCAACTTAAATGCTTTTTACCCTGTGTTCAAAGTTTTGCAATGCACTTCTTTTAAGGGATAGAAATCCACATTCATTCCTTTGTGCGCACAGAGCTACGTAAAATATGCACCACATTTTAATGGGCAGGAAAAGCATGACAGTTTCAAATCAGTATTAATTACAAGTACTGAAAAGGGTGTTTCAAACAATGAAAGTCCACAGTGCTGACTGTTAGAAGCAGAAAATGATCTTAAATCCCTCTCAATCCTTTTCCACTCCAACCCTTCGCGCTGCGTAGTCCAGCACCGCAGCCTGAAAACAGTTTCTTGGTTACTGGAGCAGCTGATGCACCTTGGTGTTCGCACGCCATGCCCTCACGCAATACACAACAAATACTTTGTACCAGTACTCCTGCGCACATTCACATTCAGTATTGTATATTATATTCCTTTCTGTAGTATCCAACAGCTGTTTACAGATGAAAATACCATTTACAATATAAGTGGGTTTTTAAAAAGCATGTCACAGTTGCCAATAGCTTATCTTTAATCAAAGGATAAGCTCAGATGTCAGTCTACAACCGAAGGCTGTAGTACAGAATAAAAAGTTGTAGATTAAAGTAACTTTAAAAAAACACTACTGTAACTTCATAAAGACCTTAATATGCAAGTAGTGCCTTGTCAACACTCAACTGCTGGAACAGAAGATTCCAAACTTTTGAATCTCAACATCCTACCAGTGCCACACTTCTTTTAAATAGTAAGTATGTGCTCCTCTAATTATTCTCCTTCCTATGAGCTAACCTCCATATGTAATCTACTAATTTGAATACTTTTATGGGATTAAAGCTTCTATACACAGAAGCCAGAATTGAGAACAGCCAGAAAAAGAACCCACATCTGTTTTACTTCTTAGTGTAGTCAAGTTTTTTAATACGTGGGATTGACTCATGTAATAAAACCTGCTATCTCACCTTCCAACTAGCGTATGCTGGCTGCCATCCAAAATAGAGCTCTATAAGCAAACTGGTAAAAAGCAGCAGAAATAATTTAACAGCTGTTATTCCTGGTCCATGAAGCTTTACTCCCTTTGCAGAATTTCTGCTTCTCACCAAACAAATTAAATCTTAGGAATACTGGGATCAGTTGCTATCAAAGCCAAAAAGCTGTTCTTCTGTTGCACTGAACACTATCACTTGTTTTACAACTACCAAGAAAGCTACCAAGAAAGTGTTTGGTCTATAGAATTTAAGACATATGTCCTATGTTTTTTGTGCATTAAAATTGTCTGTTGAAGTTCCCAGGACACTGGCCAGTTTCTGGTCTTATACAGGACATACTAAAAGGGGTGTTTGCACAACAAACAGCCCACACTGTTCTATGGGTGGCAAGGACCCTGGAAAATTTCTACTTTGAGCTTGCAGCACTGGGATAAACAATTCTTCCATGCCAAGGACATTTTTCAGGTGGGGAATCTTCCCTTGAGACTGAGACCTAAAGATAGTTTCTGGACTTTGCCCAGTTCCAACTGGAAACACAGAAGCAAGAGAAGTGCACCCAAACAGCAGCACTCAAATTCTGGTAGATATTTAATAACAAGACATTTATTAGAGATTAACTAATTGCTAATTAGCTTCTGAAAATACGCTCGTGTCTCTATTTTCCAAAGGTTAATTTTAAATGTCTATCCAATGGAAAAGCTTTTAATCCCTTGACAAAATAATCCCATTACACGTAACCCAAACAAACCAGTTACACTGATAGTAAAGTACAGATATCCACAAAGGCTCCTCACCGAGTTTTGCATCACTAGTCAAGACTTAATGTCACAGGCTTCTGAAGAAAGGGGATGGACAGAGGTAATACTGTTATGCTCCTCCCATCTTACTTATCCTCTGTTGCTCAGTATTATCAAACACTGATCTCAGAGAAATATTTTTTAATCCAGGACTATCTTAGAATACCCAATTCAGCAATTAGGTTCATTATTTGTAGTCCTAGACCCCTTCATTTGTGAAAATATGTAAAATTGTAACTTTTACTCTCTCTAGGGTTACTCTTCACCGAAGAGTATAGCATACTCCTGTTTCTCATATGCTTAGATCTAATGGAAATATTAAGAAAAAAAAAAAACTTGAAAGCGTTTCTCAAACAGGAACTGCAAAACAAGACTTTTTTTTGAGATCAGGTTTTTGTTCTGTCAATATTAGAATTCTGGAAATTTCATTCTGGGTTGCAGCAAAGCGAAACAGGTAACAATGCAGCAAACGGAGCCCTGCAGAGCTGAGAAACTTGCTTGTTTTCTCTTCATCAGCAGAGCAAGTCCATTGAGCCTTGTGAAAAATAATTTGGAGCTTTCAGGAAGTATCTTTATAATTGCAATGGATACTTGCAAATCTTTTTTTTTACTTTGTGTTATTGCTAGAAGCCTGCCAATAGCCATGAAGTGGCTGTGGCAGCTCTGCCTAATCTCAAAAAACACACTTGGTCATTACTTGGTTTTGCAATGTTAAAAAAAACAAAACAAAACCAACATCAGTTTGGATAACAGTTAGGCAGGTTGCTCCCTGTCATGGATAGAGTTGCCTTGCATCACTGGCAAGAGTTATAGTATCTTCATGGAGAGACCACACAGGCTCAGCACGCAGCAAAAAAGCTGCTTGAACAGTTAAATCAAGGGCACAGAGCAAAAAACAGAGCAGCAACAAGAAAGTTACCATGCATCAGCATGTATTTTCAAGTTTTTTGGCCCACGCAGTATTAAGAGTAATAAAAATGAGTTGATTTAGACTTCCATGTATTATTCAATAATTAAGTGTACTTTTTCAGAAAAGTTTTTGAGAAAAGTCCATTTATAAAATAGAAAAGGCACATTAAGTTTAAATTTATGTCATTAGTCTTTGCTGTCACAAGTGACTCCAATATAGGTAAATCCTAAAGAACAGTAACAAAAAAATTCTTGATGTTTTTAAAAGTCAAGGCAGTGATATTCCGCTGAGTGGGCAAAGACAATGTAAAAGCTGGGGAAGAACTTCAAACATTCAGTCGTGATGAAGAGACACCATTAGGTAAAATTGTTTAAAAGATAAAAGACACTCAACTTATTCAAACAGCCACCAAATTCTCTACGGATTTGCTAATACAACTTTAAAAGTACATACCGCGAAAGATTACATAACTCAAGGTTTAGATTAGTATCTCAAAAGTGTAGGGGAAAAAACCTGAAACAATTCACAGAAATAAACATTAACCTACATGAAAAGTTAGTGTATTGAGGTAGGAAGCCAGAACACTTCTAGAATAAAAATGCCTGTCTCTAGTTTAGCTTATAGTTGAGGCACAGTTTTGTGGGTAATTTTCTGTAGACAGATATGCGTTAGTTTTGAGAAAATATTCCTGCAAGTCAGAACAAAAGCAAATCAAGTTTATCAATATTACGCAGATAACATGATGGCTATGTATTAAGTAATGCAGTATCAGTGTTCTCTTTTTCCCCGCTTCCCCCTAAAGTAATCCATGCACCAAGTTTCCCAGCCTCTTGCTACAAATGGCATAAAACTCTAGTCTTAGTCCTAAACCACAAAACAGTCTTTAGCAATTGAAGAGGATACAGAACCTAAGTGACAAACTATTTGTCTTAACTCAAGTCGACTTTAGCAAACTGTTTCTCCAAATGAGCGATGCTAGTCCAGCAACAGTCTACTCGTGCTCTTCAGACAGCTACAGGAACTGCGGTGACTTCAGGGGATACACCAAGCCCACTATGAAACTTCAACCCGCCAGTTTATGACAGCTTAAGGTAGCAATATTTTCTTGGAAAGAAATCAGCTTTCCAACTGCCCTTCCATCAAACGAGGATACACAAAGTGACCATGGCGGTAGTGCGCTCGAGCCCCGTCCCAGGGCTGCCGGGCGAGGGATCCGCAGGTCCCACTGCCGCCTCCTTCCATCTCTCACCTCTAAGTCTTGGAACAATATTGGAGGTGTTAATATTCAGAAGCGGCTTTTGTTGCTGGCCTGATGTCTAAATTGGCCAGTAGTATTGTCACACGCACATAAACACAGAATACCCACAAAACCCACAATTCTGTCGGAAACAAGACGCTGACATACATTGCTACGGCCAGTTGCTATGAGCTGGCAGAATAAAAGTAGGTGCTGCGTATTTTTTTTTTTAATAGTTCCTGTATCCTACGCTTGAAGAAACTGCCTTTACAACAAAAGGAAACCAGTTCAACTTCCAAAACCGATTATCAATATAGTGGTGTGAATGGAGGCAGAGGTGTAAGTACAGTTTTAAGGTCCTACAGCTCCTTGCTTTCTGGGAGGTCTGCAGACATTAAAGGCAGTATGCTAAGAAAAATGAACAACTATTTCAGTACTCGTAAAAAAGAAAATCCAGTAGAGTATAAGCAGTCTCTAACACAGTAAAGGAAAAGCAGCTGCACATTTAATATAAAAAGAAAACAATTAAAAGACTGCAAAAGAGTGACTGTTTCCAGACAAAATAATACGGTTTCAAGTGAAAAGTGTACTAAGAGCCTAACACTGTGGTGGCTGTATTATACCGAGACAGCTGAGTGGATTCTATGCCCTGCCTCACCTTCTGGAAAGAACATGAGTACTGCCATTAAACTTCAAACACAGTAGCTGCTAAAAGCAGAGACTTTTTGCGCTACAGACCAATTACATCATCTCAGACTGAAAGAACTGATTATTTCAAGGCTAACGGTACCTCTCTCCAGCATGTGTTTGCTCAATAGTGCAGACATTAGTACTGCTGAGACCCAGAATCCCTTTTACAGTAATGCTCTTATAGCATAGTCCAACTTTTTTTTTTTTCTGGCAGCATGAACATGTATTTAATACTGTAAATACAAAAAAGAGGGCAGTTTTTGATAATACTTATCTCCAGCAGCATTATACTGCACCTTGAAAGCCAACTTCTGTAGGAATTATCACTAACGCATCTTTTAAGGGTGTAACTGCTATTTTTGTTTTTATACTAATGTGTTCTTTAATTAAATTTACAAGCACTGAAAGAGAATTGAATAGAGAACAAGAGAACAGTTCAAGGTTGCGCAGCTTAGCAAACCCCATAACCAGTATACCATGAAGAGTCTACTCAGGACACCAAGTTCTTCAGCTGATGTGACCAGAACACGTTAGCCTCCACCAATGCTCTCCTTCCAATATGAGTATGTCAGCTCTATGAGAGTCAAAAGCCTGAACAGTAACTAGAAGTGGCACAGAGATGAGCGAAGAAAAGAAACCCTGTAGTTTCATACTGAATGGCTTAACTATGCTGGAACAAGAGAGAATAATCAATTTCTCCCTCCCACTGCCACCAGTTTCACTGGAAGTCTTTCAGCTATTTAGTACCATAAACAGTTGTGTCACACTGACTTCAGCTAAAATCAATTATGAATGCCTCAGTATTTTAAGCAGTTACAACTTCCCCTGCACACTTCTTGTGGTGAGCCCTTCTTCTGAAACGGATTTCTTGCTCCCTACACAAAACACAACATAATGAAACAGTAATATTCCCATCATTAGAAATAAAGGTTCTTACTGTGTAATTACTGTTCAAGACTCTATTCAAGTAGGTAAAGCCTCTAAAAATGCAGACACCACTAAATGCCTGTTGTGACATTCTGTTAACTGGCTAGAAAGCATGTAACAAACATACCTTCTATGAAATCATTTTCACTATACAGCTGCCTCTCTCCTACGCCATCATCTTCATCTTGTCCATCTTCTTCATCTGGATTATTGATAACTTCTAGGCCAGCCTCAATAACTTCCACCAATTCATCTCGTTTATCCTTTCTAACAGGTTTCTCTTCTGGATGCCGAGTGAGCCCCATCTCCAGCTGGAACACTTTCATGGATGTAAAGCTTTCAAAAGGAATGACGCCATATTCACTAGGCAGTTTGGCCCCCACGCTCACCTCAGCTTTGTCAATCTGGGAATGAAGAAACTCTAGGAGATCATTGGAAGCTTGTTCTTTGGTGCCCTGGTAGTTCATACCATTGACCTTGGGGGTCTTTTTTTCCTGTAGGGATTTCAATTTATCACTCATTTCCTGAAGCTCTTGCTTTAACTGGGCAATCTGACGTTTCAGACTGGTAGCTCGGTTTTGATAATGCTCTTCTTGTTCCTGCAAGAGAGCTTGATAGTATTCTTTACCCATGTTTTCGCCTACAACACCAGGTAGAGATCCATTACCATCTGTTTGTGGAGCACACTCAAGCAAATACATGAGCAAGACTAAACTGAATAGTAAAGCAAGGCCCACTAATAGCCAACGAGTCCTGGCTTGAATTACTAAGCCTCTTCTGGGCATTCTCATATTATTTCTGTTTCCAATCCAAAAAGATGACTTATCTGCTCATGCCTTCCAGGGAACATCACCCCAGAGTTCAAATCTTAGAGAGAGAAAGCATGACCATAACAGTTACTACAAGTTTTGATGAAGTAGTTGATGAGCAGTTTTCAACCTTTGCCTTAGTCAGGTATCATTGCTGAGACATAAATCTGAAGTTCCTATGTCATCCATAACCATCAGCTGTAAGTTTGGTTGACGCCATACAACTTGTTCAGGATTTCCTACCCCAAACAAAAAACCCTGGAGATGGGGAGGAAGATGGAAGACACCAGCAAGGAGTCATATTTCCATTTCCTAATTCAACCCTAGTTGAAGGGTTTTAGCCTATTTGAAGTTCAGTAACGAAAGTCTGCAAAAGTAATTTTATAAGCTTTGAATTGACAGCAATTTATTTTCCTCCACTATGTGTAAATGAGAGCAGTCTACAGTTTAGTGACAGTCATTTTCATTGGCTAGTCTGGCTTTTCCTCTGGCACTTGAGTATTTTATTCCACTTCCCCTTCCTTTCCTTGGAATCTGCAGTCCGAGTCAGCAAAATGAAGACAACCTAAAATTAAAAGAAAGGTGCATATTAGAACTACAAAGCAGCTGGTCATGTGGAAAACACACAAAGTTGTAACACATGAATGCAAAGGCTCACTGGGGGAAGGGGTGGGAAAAGGAGAAAGAAAACATCATTTCTTTCCATTGCATTACCCATCAGTGATTCCTTTTGACATAGTGTCTGGCAAATAACAATACGGACAGCCTAACGAAATACATTTTTCATAGCTAGCTAAAGCAGTAAGGGTTCTTCTAGTCCCATCAAGTTTTATTTGTTTTAACTCCCCCATTCCTCCTTGGTTTTTTTGTTCTGTTTTCCTCTGTGGGAAGAAAAACACACCAACAAAACCCATGCCCTTTTTACTCCTTTACATTAAAAAAACGTTCCAAGAACTATTTTGAAGTAGCAGCAGCAGCTTGCATTTCCATTTGCCTTTAAGTAAATATCTTTTAGGGAAAAATTATTCACACATGAATAAAGTATTACAGATTTAAATATCAAAGTTCACAGAAATAGCATTTCAGAATAGGTCAAATTCAACAGAAATTTAAATTCAAAGCCCAATTCTTGATTGATGAAAGGGAGCCTCAGACTATACATTCACTAACATTTCCACCTTTTGACTTGGTTAGGCCAGTGCGAAGAGGTGTTTGCCGCTTGCGTGGGTCACCCTCTTACACGGCTGACCAAAATGACTTGGGGGAGAGACCAGGGAAAAAGAACACAGTTCGGCAAGGCGGGGGGATACAAAAAACCCTACTTAGCAATAATAGTCAGCAAAACAGCCTATAGTTCTCTTCAGTGACAGCATAAAGAGCTAAAAAAGTAAGCTCAGTGCATGTTAGTCTACTTTCTAATGTTAATAAAATACTTCTGTTTAAAACTTCGTTGTAGAAAAGTGAAGCTCATTAAAATTTATCCAGGTTATCTATTAGCTCTACATCCATTTCGACTGTGTTGTGTAACTATTGTTTGGGGGAAATTTTGGCACTTGAGTAACTTCAGTTTAGTTTCATTATGCTTATGAGATCAGAAAAAAAAAAGTGCCCACACCGGTACTCCTTATATATGGCTTGGACAGATTGTTACCTAACACTACCAGCAGCCAGAAACCCCATCTTCCTCTGCCCTTGCAAGTAAGTCACAGTGCCACGATACACTCCCTGTGTTTACAACAAACACCTTGCAACATTTCTCGCCGATTATGTCCTTGCGACATTTCTCCCTTCCCATTCGGCTTCCAGCATCGGGATATCGCTTTAGTAAGAACCAGGTACCACGTATCAGTGGTATCATTGTATTCAACATCCTCATTTATAAGAAAATCTTTCAGGCCTTGTTATTGGAGTTAAGTGATTTATTCATGCCCCCAACACCAATGCCTGCGACAGCTGATCCTAAGTTTGCATGCATGTCACGCACACTAAGTTTTGTAAGAGCTGCACACCTTGGAATTGTCCAGCTGAAGTCTATGGGACTGCCTGAAGCAGTTACCAGTATTTCTAGCGCTAAAGTCCCTACCAATGACCCTGTTCAGGAACAAATTAGATCATTTTTTATAGAAATTCTTAATACAGCAGCTTAAAGGCAATAGTTATCTGAAACTGAAGTTTTTTTGAACTCACACAAAGCTACTGGACACTTTGGTACAAAATGAGTAACAGTTTTATCAACTGAATTCTAGATGACATCCTTTTAAGTCCAAGTAAGACAGAAGTTAGTCACTCCTCACTGCACAAACACAACATTATATAAATGCAAATTAAATGCCTATAAAGAGCGATCAACACCAGATGTATCCTCAGATTGTTAACCAGGGTCCAGATGTGGAGAATCAAGGGAGACAGAAGAAAAAACAATCTACAGGATAAAACTAGTTCACAGACATGACATAGTATCACCCCAAGCCTTTTTTAGTACAAAGTTGCCTATATGATGTTTTTTCACATTTCTTCCTGAATTCGAGTTCTGTTAGACTGCAAGAGGTGAAGCCACCATTAAGAACATAAAGATCCATACGTTTCTTTAAATCTAGATAAATGCTAGCCTCTACTAAAGCCACTCCATGCAGAGCACATATTAGATCAGTCAAGGGATACTGAAAAATGATCAAACCACCCGACTTCCATAAAATATTGACAAATCCAGTCCCAACTATTTTTCATTGCACAGCCTTATTACTGCTGTCAAGAACAGCAGCATTTTTGCATCGCTGCATACACAAACACAGCTACCGCACCATTACAGAAATCAGCTTTTCAAGTTATGAAGAGATGCTTTTGGTACAGGGGACAGGGTAGGAAACCAGGCTGAGTCTTACAGCTCAGCAGGACACGAAGAAGAGAGCCTTGTGTTTTTCCTTTACCTTTCTCCGCACTATTACAGGACAATTAAAGAAAATGGAAGCATGTACTAGAAAGGAGGAGCTAGTATTTCTAATTAAGACTGTCTTACGAGATTATTTAGGCTACCATGGTACAGTTTGATAATAGGCAGTGCAGGCAGCTGCAAATCACAGCCAGATTTGGTTCATGACTGAACCTCCAATGTAAAGCCACCTAAGTCATGCAACCTCCTACCACCATGGGCTTCAAACAATCGGTAACTGTTGTGAAGCGATAAATTGACACCCCTGAAGCTGGGACATTAGCCTAGCAGGCCTTTATTCAGTTCTTGTTCTACCAGTAAATTGCCCTGTGTTCAACTTCGATGAGTCACTAAGTTTCTCTAGGTCTCATTCATGTCTTAGAAGCAAGTGACAACAGATTTCCTGATGTGGTGTCAAGAAGACACAATGTACCAGGAGAATAAGATTCCCTCCAACAATAGCAGAGGGCAATGAAAGAACAGCTCTGTTCTTAATAACTTTTTTAACTGTGGCCAAACATCCATCGTTACGGTAGGCATGGATTAAGAAAGTCAGCACGCCTCCACAGGGACTCGCCGCTCGCATTGCATCACCAACGCAAGAACAAAAGATTATTAATAACTGCAGATTTCTAAGCCTTCCTACTGGCACTTTACCTATTTACACGAGAGGGCTGGTTTGTGGACCACTGCCTTAAGGGGTGCTTAGGGAAGAAAAACAATAAGCCGTTTCTGAAGCAATGGAAACTACATGTGGTGGGCTGTAGAGAAATGCTCGTTCTTTTCCTTCTAGGCTCTAATTATTCCCTCATTAGTCGAAACCCTTTTCTAGTGAGCTAGTGACAATCTTATTAACAAGACAGCCTTTTTGCACAGAGATAGGCCTTGCCTATTTAACAGTTTTCGTGTGACACCATAAAGAACCGGCATTTTTCCCACAGTAGCTTCCCTGTGGCCTTTAAAGGCAAGGAACATTTGTGCAACCGCTTATGTTAAACAACATTAAAATTCTAAATTGCACATGGAGAGCTGAAGGGGTAAGTTAATTTGCTAAAGCAGTGGGGACAGAGCCAATCTGGAAATCTCCCCCCCCACCAGTATTACTTGTGCTGAGGAGAGTCATCATAAAGGAGTCTGACACAGATTTCATCTTGCATCAAGGAGCGAGTGAAGCCAGTAAGAATCTTCATTCTCATCCCATCAGAAAAGGAGGGTTTATGAGCCCTCTCTTTCACTATCCTCTCTTTTCAGAAAAGCACTGGTTTTGCATATGTACAACCCAAATTTGATATGAATTAGGTCTGTCACGGCATTATTTTAGGAATTCCAGTAACTACTCCCAGGCTGTAGAAGATGATTACAAGAGAAAACTGGCTGTGAACCCCAGAATTAGCAAAAGCACACAGGAACCCAAAAATCACATCAGGAAAATTACTTCAGTGTCACATGGTACATTATGAAGCTTACCTGGAAATAAGTAATCACGCAGTAGTGCCTGGGATCAGTATTTCAGTGTTTAAAGATTAAGTTCCAAATCTTTAAATTGCACATGCTGATATCTCACTTCAATTCTTTGAAACAAGTCTATTTGCAATACTCCCTATGATCTCCAAACAACGAGACATCTCAGGCTTATACAATGCTTATAAAGATGTGCAAGTTTTCCAGAAGCAACTGGTTGTTATTCTTTCTGCATTTCCAGGGCCTTATGTATATTCAACTATGGAAATGTTTCTGTTCCTTACAAAAGAGCTCATTGATTCTCTACACACAAGGGAATAGACCAGCATGCTAATTGAAAATTCTTTTAAATTTGTTTTTATTATATTAGCATTCTATTTTGGTTCCTTGTTGCAAAGGATGACTATGTCTTTCTAAAGAGGGGAAACATTCACACTTAAAGCGGTGACCTAATTCAGTATGCACTTGGCTTCATGCCAGACTGTACGGACATTCCTCATTTTAGCATGTTCTACTTTAGACATGTCCTTTTCATTCGGCATGCCCTAGATGGTCATAGTTTAGCTGCTTATGAAATTCCGGTTGATTTTCA